TATCCACATAGCAAAGACTTGAACCACCCAAATTCCATCAATGTAGACTGGATAGAAAATGTTGGCACATATGCCCATTGAATACTAGCAGCCTAAAAAGGATGAATTCATGTCTTTGGTAGGGATTGGATGAAGGGGAAGCTGGAAACCATCATTCTGAGCAAACTATTGCAAGGACAGAAAACCAAACACTGCATGTTCTCACTCATAGGTGGGAATTGAACAATGAGAATACTTGGACACAGGGTGGGGAACATCAGCACTGGGGCCTGTTGTGGGGTGGCAGGAGGGGGAAGGGATAGCATTAGAATATATACCCAATGTAAATGACGAATTAATGGGCGCAGGACACCAGCATGGCACACGTATACATATGTAACAAACCTGCACGTGTGCACATGTACCACAGAACTTAAAGTACAATAATAAAAATAAATAAATAAATAAATTTGTGCTATTTTTCTTTGGTTTCATAATAATGAGAAGAACAAAGAGACTCCCTCCTTCTGAAGCCTGGAAGCAAGAGCAAGTGACTGGTTGGCAAGTTCAGACCACTGTCACTACCCTGCAAAGCCAACCCTGGAAAGCATTAGATCCTATTTACCACAGCTAATTTCCAATCCACAGCAAATGTTTCTGTCTACAAGGGCAGAATCAACTTTCACTTGGGAACTAGGATTAGAATGTGAAAAAGATGCTGGCTCTCAAAGAACAATATTTATTCAACTGAACTAGAAATCAAGTAATAATTGGCAAAGGAAATAGGTTTTTACAGAGCCATCTCTTCTGAGAAAGCCTTTCCCAACTGAAGAAAAACTTTTTGGTTGCTGTTACTGTTTTAGAATAACATTTTCCAGGGTTAATTTTAGTCTCCCGATTTACTTTCCATACTTTGTCATCATGCCTGATTCCTCAAGACAAAATACTGACTTTTGCCTTGACTTTGATCTTTGTTCTAGCAAAAATTTCAATGAGAAAGAAGTGAGCTTTCTTCTAAGCTGTATGTCCTTTCACTGAGGTAGAAATGCAATGGCTACACAGCAGCAGCCACTGCTCAGAGTGGAGTCTAAAGCCAGCCAGAGAAGAGGCCTGGAGGCAGGAACACTTGAGTCCTTAGTGGTAAAAGCACAAATGAGTATTCTCTAAGTCACAGGGCTGCTCTCAATGACACAGTCACAGATAACGGGAAGCTGAGTGGGGTTCATGAAGACCTCTCTTCTCCATTCTGCAAGTAGCACCCTGCCGTCCTTACCTCGGGCACTGGAAGGGGCAGAGGTAATCATCTGGGATGGTGCTGAGTGAGTGGAACTCAGGCTGGAGGAAGAAGGGCTTGCCTGGGACGAGGACAGAACAGAGACGTTGGTGACCGAGCCCTGGTACCTGGGGTTGGGATACGCAAGCTGCAAAGGGAGAAAAATCAGCAGGATAGAGGTCTGAATGGCCAGGACTTTAGGGCTGGCACAGAGTTGGCTTTTTCATGCCCTGAGGTGCTCTGCCCCAGTGCCTTATGCTATACTCTGAGCCCTGATGGAGGCCAGGCTAATGGTTGGGCACTAGGGGCCACCCATACCACCCATATGGAACAAAGTTGTTGGGCTGGCCATACTACGGTGACCACGGAGGAAGCAGGACTAAGCCAACAGGAATGCCAGGCAAGGGGGCACTCTGGCAGAGGATCTTTCCCATGGGATCTCTTAAAGCAACCAGGGCTGAAGCTGGATTTTCTTCTTGGGAAATAAGGCCTGGGAACTGATACTTAGGATGGTGTGTGGAGGAAAGGTGGCTTTCTAGCTCTGATGAGGGGTGTTCTGAATTCGGAGCTAGAGAATTAGGCAGGGTTGCCAGCCCTCAGATCAGACATTGCAACAGCAAGGTGAGTCCTGTAGGCATGGTGCCCTGGCCCACTCTCCCTGGACAGCTCTGTACCTGCATGTGGTGGTACAGGTCCTCGGGAGCATCGCCCATGGAGCCGTCGCCCAGCATCACCATGTTTCCTGCTTCACTAGACGCATGTGAGGAGAGAGAGGATGATGAATGGCGGCCTGTGCCCATCAAGTTCATGGGGCTGTGAGCAAGAGTGGGAAATAGGAGTCAGGCCGATGGCAGGTGGCAGGGGGACAATAGAGCAGAATGTGTGGAACAGTCATCCCTGGTTTCAGCTACCACCGGTTTGGAGGGTTCCACAGCCAATGCTCATACCCATCTGAGGCCTGGAGCAGTCCTGAGCTGTACCCTGCTACTCAGGAGCCCTTGGTCTGGGAGAGACAATGGTGTGGTACACCGGACAAGCCTCTATCTACAGCTACATGGCTTATGGCCACTCAGTTTAACGACATTAGCAGTTTCTCAGGAGGAATAAAGAGATATGCCAAATCAGGTCAAAGATCTCAGGTCCCCTTTTCTATGGGGTATTAGTCTGGGTCAGTGCCCACCCCTCCACCCCCCACACCATGATGGGATCTGCTCCTTGGTCAGAGGCTTCTTCCTAGTGTGGGAAGCTACCAAAATAGCCGGCTGTGAACTATCTGCAGTCCTCTTTCCACATCTGTGGCCAAAAGCTCTCCTCTGGCAATACCAGGAAAACCTCTCATTCATTTGTTCCTAAGTGCCCATTCTGTGCTGAGTTGCCACTCACACTGGAAAACAAGCCTAAGTGAGGGGCTCCTCTCACTGGTCTCCTCCTCCAACCTGGCCTTCCTGGCCTAGAGACTTTCAGTATTCTCAGTTGAGCCCAGGCAAACCAGTCTTTGATGTTCACATCACTATGCTGTTTCTTCCTTAAAACTGACTTGGTGATCTCCTCATTCTCCTTGGGATCAAGTCCAAAGGCCTGCATGAACAAGGCCCATTCAGAGTTGGTCCTATCCCCTTTTCCATGCCCTGGAATCCTGCACTCCAGCCACTTGACTCTACTCAGAGTGCTGACCAGGCTGGCTTGTTCATATCTTGAGGCTTCTGCATGTGTCAGTCAATTTGCCTAGATCTTGCCCTATCACCCTCCTAACCCCTAGCAAACATCTATTTATCCTTCAAGACTTCCCCAAATGCCCCCTCCTCCACGCTGCCACAATATCATGTATACACTTCCCTTAACCAGGATAGTGACTGACTGAATGCAGGGTGTGGGTCCTATGGCAGGAGCCACATAAGTGTTTGCTGTGTGCATGGGTAAGAGGGAATATGAGTATACACAAGGACTCTTTTGTCTGACCCTTGACAATTTAGACTCACCTCTCCAGAGGGAACCCTCCCCAGCCCTAAGGCCATACCTGTGCCGATGGGTCATCTTGATGCTCTCCGGACTCATGGGGCTATGGGATGCCAGAACATTTCCCCGTGGGGTGCTGGTGCCTGAACATGCAGGACTTAGCTTATCCAAACCTGGAAACTCCTGTTGAGAAATGAATGCCCCTTCATAGAGAGTAAAGAATAAATAAGTAACTAAGGGATATGAGGGAAGAACTGACTGGTGATCAAAAATCTAAAAGAAACAAAAAAGAGTCATATGGTTGGCTGAACCTGAACTGCTTCCTTTTGGCAATGCCCCCTTCATGACTAAAACACCCTCCTAACTGCATGGGAACCTAGACCCAAGGCCGTGTGCGAGGCCCCAGGTTGACTCCACACTAAGAGAAGCATATCTGGAATGAACTGAAGCTGGTCTGAGCTCATAGGAGTGTGTTAACAGGTTTTCTCGCTATGGAATAAGTAGAACAAGATTTGGGAAAAAGGAGAGGAAGAGCTTATTATTAGTTGTCAATCAGTGGGCACCAATTACATAAGGATTGGTGTCAAGTTTTATTAGACTGCTAAATGGCCCAGCTCTTAGTGACCTAGGTTGTCTGTGACACAGTCTACAGGGAGACAGAACATAAAATCCTGATGTATGTAACTGAAAAATAGCACAGATCTATTTTAGCTTAATTTATTCATATTAAGTATACAGATTTCTGGGCACACACTTCTGATCTCAAACCCTACTAGGTGACAGCATGTTTGTTTGCGTCCCTGTGTGCAACTCAGAGGAAATAACTGTTCAGGTTTCCTCAAGTCCTTCAAAATCTGTAGTGAACAGGGGCCCTACGTCCACTGGGGATATTTCTGAGCTTGGTGTGAAGAAGCACCGGGTTTTCCACCCACTTCTTCCAAAGTATACAGAGGGCTAAAATGTATTTCTGTAGCTGGATAAAGGATATGTGTGCACACGGAAGAATGTGATGTATATAGGAAAGTGTTTTGTGCTTTTTGCTGCAACCCACATGGCAGAGAACCTCCCCACTGGCCAGGCTCCAGCCTGCCTGGGTCATCTGCTGTGATGGGGAAGTATGCAGGAGACCTTGGAATGAGAAGTAGTGGAATGAATACCCACCAGGCTCAGCAATACTGCCCAAGTTCCTAACTAAACGACACTCCAATTTTAAGGCGGAGATGTAAAAGAGCTTCTCTGCATATTTCACCTTGAAATACCACGGGAGAATCGTAACAGATGGGAGAAATTTCAGGATCTCCAGGCTTTCCTCTGGAAAATGTGCCCCTACCCCTCAAACTACAACAAGCTTCTTTTTCTCTTTTCATGTTATCCACACTTGTCCACACAGGCTGAGACCTGCACTGGGAGCCTGGAGGGACAGAGATGACCAGAACCTGCAGCATCCATGAACAAAGCAGGTCCGCCCCAAATGGGTCAGGCCCACTGTGTTTAAGTAGTTCAGCCTCCCTCAGGGCTCCTGTGGCCATGGGTATCCCTAGAGGGGGATGCTTTTTGCTCATGACAACCTCGTGCAGCTCAAACAGCTCTACTTCTTGTCGACCTGCCACTACCCAGTGGTCCTGGGTGATGAGAAGAGAACTTGGCTTGGGTGCCAGGTAGCAGCAGGTAATTGGGCTCATACCCCTTAAGATCTGGGAGACAGCCTGTTTAGCAGGAAGGGATCTCTAGAAAACATTTGGAGTCGGCTCCACAGTTGAAAATGAGGTTTGGGTATGTGACTAGGGGGCTCTATCCTCAGCCAGTCAGCACTTCCTCTAAGACCCTGCCAAGGAATACTGGTCCTGGAATATAAGTCCTATTTGTGTGTTTAAGTCCTTGGGCCAAATGCTACTGTGGAGGCTGAAGAGCTGGGCCATAGTTAGGGAGACTTTCAGGAGCCTGGTCCAGCCCCAGGACCTGGCTGACCCCTTTAAGAACCGCTAACATCAAAGTACTGCTCATCCTAGACTATCTCAGATGTGAGCTTGGATCACCAGACATGATAGAGGAAGCTGGGAAGGAGAGGGAGGGAGGGAAAGAGGGAGAAAAGGGAGTTGGGGGAAGAGTAAAAAGAGGGAAAAGAGAACAATTAGAGGGAGAAGAATGAAGAAGGGCAGAGAAAGAGAAGAGGAGGAGGAGGGAGATGGGGAGAGAAGGCTGGCTCAGGCCATGCCTACCTCTTTAGGTTCTTGAGATGAAAAACATCTCCAAAAAGATCCCTACATGTGGGCCATATACTTTAGCTCTTTTCCTCCACATATGAAAACCTGTTCACTAGCACAGTGCTCTGAAACATGTTCTCTGCCCTTGAATCTGGCTCCTCCTTTGGGAGTGAGTGAGTGAGAGGATCCTTAGCATCCTTCCCCTGGATATAGCATCCATCCTTGCCCCCTGTCCCTCTGTGGGGAGGACAGCCTCTCTCCCTGACCCGGCCCCCACCCAGGCTCTCTCCCTCCTATTTTCCTTTGGCTTGTGGTATATAGGTCTGGAGAAAGTGACACCTGGTTCTACTGCAGCAGGGGCAGGACAGGGATTAACTTACATGGTAGAGACTGGCCCGCATCATCTGGAACTGATCAATTAGCTTCTTATGCAGAGGTCGCATTTCTGGGTGCACAAACTTCTCATGAACTGCTAGCCCAACTCCAAGGACATGAACCTATCAGAGTCACAAACAAGGCCACTCTGTGAACCATGAGCAGCCCCTGAGAACTGAAGCCATCTTGTAGTGCATGGCTTTTCTCACCTGGCTGCTGGTCCCCAAGGTCTCCAAGACATACCTGCTCCTGCATAAGCTCCTTGAGCTGGGTGATCTTCTCAGCATCTCCTGGGTGCTTGTTGATGTAATCTTTATCAAAGAAGGCCTGTGAAAGGAAAGGCCAAGTCAGGAAGACTCTTCCCAGGACTACCACTTATATGGGGCCCAGGAGATTTGAGTTCACTAATGCCACCTAAAACGTAGCCAGGCTGTCTTCTCATAGGTACATACACCAGTCTGGCCTGTTTGAACTTCTGGCAATTAGAGGTGTGTGTGTTTTATTTTATTTTATGATATATTTTTTGAGACGGAGTCTTGCTCTGTCGCCCAGGCTGGAGTGCAGTGGTGTGATCTCGGCTCACTGCAAGCTCTGCCTCCTGGGTTCACACCATTCTCCTGCCTCAGCCTCCCGAGTAGCTGGGACTACAGGCACCCGCCACCATGCCCGGCTAATTTTTTCTTGTATTTTTAGTAGAGACGGGGTTTCACCGTGTTAGCCAGGATGGTCTCAATCTCCTGACCTCGTGATCCGCCCACCTCGGCCTCCCAAAGTTCTGGGATTACAGGCGTGAGCCACTGCACCTGGCGAGGTGTGTTTTTTGTCTGAGAAGGATTGAACGTGGCCAAGCCATCTAAGTCTGGATGCTGACCCCAGTCCCTTATGGAGCCTGGATGGCCTAGGTAGGGCAGGCAGGACTGGTGGACTGGGAGTAAGGGCTAGCCTCTTATCCAGCCTACGACTCACTTCTCATGATGGGCTGGGCTCCAAGGCTCCTCTTGGAGGGCACCTAACATCTTCCCATAATCAGGATTACAGATTACCCATATCAGAGTTCAGAGAATAAAAATGAAGAAAAGGCCCTACCAGAGAACTGTGCCAAAGAAATAGGGAGTGATAGGGAGCTTAGGGCCTCGTTCCAGGACCATCCCAAGTTAGTTTAGCCAAGAGAGGGCATGTAGGGAAGGCTACCTAAGGAGACTACAATCTTGAAAAGAGAAGCCTGTGAGTCACCTTCCCAGCCAGGCTGCCTGCATGGGTTTGGTCTGTGGCCACAGCTCACCTCCTGATAGCGTGCAATGCCTCCATTGACAGCTGCATCAATGACACCATTCAGGCACATGCTTAGCAGGTTGATGTTGCCATGCACCTGCTTGTGTTGATACTGGCTGATCAGGGAGCGTAGCTCCTGGTTCTTATTCTCAACCACTTGGATGGCATTCTCCAGAGGGCTCACCTCCACCTAGGGGTACACAGCACACAGAGTCATCCCAGAAATGATGATAACCCCTCATCATATTCCTGAGACCTGGGGTCTAAGATCTGTGGTATTGATTCCCCTTCCTTGTTCCTGTGAACTTGAGACTCTCTGGACACTTTCCACTTCTGTTTTCTGATTTATAGGCACTTGGAAGTACAGCAAATAGTGAAGAACACTAGTTCTGAAATCAGAACACTCTGCTTTCTTGAATCTCAGAGAATAGTTTTCTCATATGTAAAGTGGGAGGCTGAAAATACCTGCTGCTCAGGGGTGTTGTATGGATTAGATGAGAGAAGATACACAAAGATCCTAGCACAGGGTTGACCTGTGGGAGCCTAGGCCAGGCAGGCGGCCGAAGCTCTCTTTATCTTCAGTCCTTAGAGAAGGGCCCCCAGAGCTGGGGCTGAGGGAGCAGTTGTGAAGCTCAGCTTCATCTGAGACATGTCTCACCAGTTCCCTTCTCTCCACTTCAAACCACCGAGAGATGCCAGGCAAGCTGTGGGTCAGGGTCAGTGTGGTACGTTCAATCCACAGGCTCTGTAGGGAGGGAACAGGCAGGTGTGGGCAGTTAGGCAAGTTTTGCCACACCCTGCCTACCTGAGGGATAAAACGGTGAGTTCCCAAGAAAGTTGAGCTTGCCCCTGGACTTGCTGTGTGTACTGCCCCTGTTTTCCTGATTTGTTCACCTTGAATTCATTCTCCTTGTCCTTGGGGCCTTTGTGAAAAGGCCTGTCGTACCGGAACTTCCTCACATTGTTGACGCGATAGAAGCTCTTGACGCGATCTGGTACCCTATCCATCTGCAGAACATCCACATAATCTGGAATGGGCGTCACTGCATAGATCTGCAAGTCTGGGCAGGAAGTGAAGGAGAAATGCAGACTTGCCAGAGATGGACCTGAGAGGTTGACCCCTGTTATCTCCTCAAAGGGGAGAAGTGAACCATAGCCCCTGCTCCTTACTGACAGCCCAGTGGTGGAGGCAGTGGCATCTCCAGGGGCAGATTAGAGCCAAGCACAGTTACGTAAATCTCTATCTGCTCTCTCCCTCTCCCTGCTCTAGTAGTTGAGTTTCATGAGCACTCAACCAAGGTGAGATGTCAACAGCCAAGTGTTCTCTGGTGCCCCTTTAAGAAACAAAGGGAAAGAGGGGAATGCAGGCATCCACCCCATGGGAGTGAGAGAAGGCTACAAGGGTCTGGGCTTCCCCTCTATAGGTAAAGTATATTTACTGAAGAACAACTTTTAAATAAAATACTGTTTGAAATCTTTGTGGAAAAAAAGCAGGTAAGAGTCCACTTGCCCTCCCTTCTCTGAAACAAGCTTGCCATAGTCATGGCATCTGTCATGTGGTCCCCAAGGAAGCTGTGTGTGAAAGGTGAGGGGGAGGGCAGTGTTTCCATTCAGACTTCCAAGTGCCACCAAACCAAAGGAACTCCCCCATCCTCTCCTGCTCCTCACATCCTTGGGCCCTGCCCCAGTCCGCCTGACGAAGACAAGAGACAATAATAGAACACATGGGAGTGGCGCAGGTCACAGCACAGGTGGTATTCCTGTGACAAAAGCCCTGATAGGACCCCAAGTCACCCTGTACAGTGATTGCTCCTGGCTGCCTGGGCAGACTCCTCATAGGGCAGGGTGAGGATTAAGCTGTTGGAAGCAGCCAGTCTGAGGGATAAAGACCTTCCTGAAGTCCCACTGATGACTAGACCACCCACTGCTAAGGGCACGCCAGTGCTTCCTCTTTGAGGCATTAGTGCGTTTCTAAGTGTGTGCTAAGCAATGAGGACACACTCAGGTTTAGGGCTATGGGATATCTAACCTGTATGGTTGGCAATGTGGTAGAGGGCAGCTGACTGGGTGGACCTCACCTCCCAGGGCCCCTGCCGTCCTCCCACCCAGTATCAAAAGATACACTGGGCATCGCACTGTAGGATGGCGTCATCAGGATGGTTGGGGTGCTGCATGGCGACAGCCTGCGGGAACTCACTGAGCATCCTCTGCTGGAAGGCCTCCAGCCTCTCGTAGTCATGGCCACGGCATACGTATTCTTTGTTCTGCCACAAACATAAGAGCACACTCTATGTATACCTTATTTGTAGCCCCCAACCTCCACACTGGAGTCAGTAGCTACATACATCACAAACATATCTTAGGAGTCTTCTCTGTATCAGGCCCTGGGACAGGCGCAGGGCATTGCCCTCAGTCTCCAGACAATCAAGGAGGGAGAAGAAAAACAAAGCGAGAATTACACTGTGGTGTGGCAGCCCCGAGGGCAGGGTACAGGCTGCAAGAAGCTTGGAAGAAGGAGAAAAACCTTACACAGGAAAGAGAGCAAGGTGGGAGATGTGATTTTAAAAAAATTATGTTTAAAAAATGTCCTGAAAGGTCCACCTAGGTCAGGCTGGTATGGTATGGTATGAGTGGAGAAGGGCAATCTATGTGGATACTGTGACAACCAGGGCAACAACTATCAAGACAGGAAAAGGCAGAGCTGGAAAGAAGGTGTCTGTGTAGAGAACTGGTAAAAGCAGTTGGGCAGAGGGGCACTGCCAGCCCCTCTTGGCATGTCTTCAAAGGAAGAAAGAGAGAAAGAGGCATCACAGAACCAGCCATATGCTTCCTGGGACAGGGTTAATCACTGGGCAGGCCTTGGAAGACCCTGACCCTGACTCCAGTGTTACCAAGGAGTGATTGCTATGGGTGCCATCAAATAAATTTAAATGGCGGGGGGCAGTGATCAAGTATGTGATTCTGAAGGATCACTTTTATTAGTTGAGACAAACAGTCTAATGTTGCCCAGTGCCCAGGAGGCATTCAGTAGCTGTTTATTGCATTAATAACCCTTTGGCAGCAAACTCCTTTGCAAACATGTCAGCAGAACAAATAGACATCATTCTAAGTACAGATTTCTTAAAATTTTACGTTATGTCACATTTAGTTTGGGTTATGTCTCAGTTTTTCTCTTCGTGGACAAGGCACCCCCAACTCTACTTGCTTTGCCTATATCATAGCTGGTCATGAGTGGGTGGCTGGAGCAAGTTCCCCTGAAACCCACCGGTGACACAGTCTGCCCAACCAACTGCCTAACCAGACCCATTTCAACAAAATGGTATCAGGCACTGCCAGCCCCTCCTGGCATGTCTTCAAAGGAAGAAAGAGAGAGAGAGCCATCACAGGGCCAGCCATATGCTTCCCGGGAGAGGGTTAATCACAGGGCAGGCCTTGGAACACCCTGACCTTCTTGAAATAGGATTTCTGTCTCCCTTTTACTTCCTCTCTCACTATGGGAGAACTTGGCTAAGGCTGGGCCATGTATCTGTATTGTCTTTTGTTTTTTTGAGATAGAGTCTCACTCTCTTGCCCAGGTTGGAGTGCAGTGTTGCAATCTGGGCTCACTGCAATCTCCACCTCCCGGGCTCAAGTCATTCTCCCACCTCAGCCTCTGAAGTAACTGGGATTACAGGCATCTTGTACCATGCCTGGCTAATTGTTGTATTTTTAGTAGAGATGGGGTTTCGCCACGTTCGCCAGGCTGGTCTTGAGCTCCTGACCTCAGGTGATCCACTTGCCTCAGCCTTCCAAAGTGCTAGGATTATAGGCATGAGCCACTGCGTCTGGCCTGGGCCATGTGTCTGGATGAATCAGAATGGAAGGGCACACTAGAAGGGAATTTAAGGTCAGGAGGAACAGGCTGGCCTCTCCAGTGGAATAGACCAGTAGTCAAAGGACAGAGGCATTTCTACATCTTTGGCTTGATAAACAAAACTGACAAAGAAAGTACTTGTGAAGAACTGGCCTTTTCATATCATTCATATGTACAACCCTCAACAATGTCTGTTCATGGGTCAAATGATGAGAAATAAAAATTCCCTCAAGAAGGGAGGGTTGGATGTTTTCCTGACTCTTTGCAGATTAGTAAATAATCACATTTGTGAGGGGAAGCAGGCAGATGGTCCAGAGAAACCAAGCTGACAGAGCTAAAGTAATAGATGGCCTGTGCATTCAGGGATGGTAGGATAGTAGCCTAGCCTTCTGGGGAAGGCCCAGCAGGAAGAATGCACAGTGTTGACCTTGAGGCTGACTGTTGGTTTCATGTTCGCCTGGGCAAGAGCCCCAGCATTCCCACAAAAGACAGATCTGGCCGCCACTCCTTTGTACCTGGTTCTCACCATCTGCAAGGCAAAGAGCTACCTCCACTGGGACTTATTATGTTTGCCACAGATGAACTGAGCAGCTGAAATAAGGGAAGGTAGCATGTGGGTTGGCCGAGGAAATTTGTATGCATGAATTATACATGCATTATACCTCCCCTTGAGATTGCATCTTGTGTGGAGATGGGAATGTATTGATGGGTGATATTTCCTAACACCCCTTGTTATTCTTCCTCCATTACCAGGGTCTTTGAAACCACATTTGTACTGTTACTTGTGAGCATGGTTTGGATGGCTTAGATGCAGGTTTTATGCCAGGTCCTACCTGTCAGAAAGCTCCAAGCACCCTGAGACACTAATGTGCCCTGTGACATGTGCATGAAAGGGTGGGAAACAGGTTGGACCATGATGGAGCATTCCTGCTTGGCAGAATAGAAACAGGGGACACCAGGGCCTGATTCTGTAATATCCAAAATAATGATGTTTTACAGTGAAATCTCAATTTTGATGTACAAATTGTGGATCTACACAAGAAGAAGAAAATGACAAGAAAGCATAATTTGCAAAGATAAAATGAGAAAAAGGCAAGTTACAAGACCAGAATCATTAGTTTGTCAAAGGACTTTCTGGAAACACTTTTGGTTTCTAATTCTTGTACAGCTGCTTCTACTTCTTTTGCTGACCTCCACCACTTCCATTGTTCTTATATGATCTATGTTGATGGGGCTAGTAAATATGCCACTTCTGAAATGCCTGGGCTGGATGGTCACTAGAGATGAAGGAGGCCTAGTCCTCTTAAGAAAGTCTCTCTTCTCATTTCCGGCCAGGTGCGGTGGCTCACGCTTATAATCCCAGCACTTTGGGAGGCCGAGGCAGGCGGATCACTTGAGGTTGGGAGTTCAAGACCAGCCTGACCAACATGGAGAAACCCCGTCTCTATTAAAATACAAAATTAGCTGGGCGTGGTGGTGCATGCCTGTAATCCCAGCTACTTGGGAAGGCTGAAGCAGGAGAATCGCTTGAATCTGGGAGGCGGAGGTTGTGGTGAGCTGAGATCGTGCCATTGTACTCCAACCCGGGCAACAAGAGCGAAACTCTGTCTCAAAAAAAAAAAAAAAAAAAAGAAATTCTCTCTACTCATTCCCATTCTGCTACTAGAAACACACTCCTGTGGAACAGTTATAGCCTTCCCGGGGATCACAACTAGGTAAATTAGGCAGTGAGCTTGCTGTTCCTGTCATATTACCAGTGCCCACACAGATCATTTTTCCTTCTAGCCTAGAATGACTACTGCCCAAGAAAAGTGCAAGTTGACCTGCCTTACTTCTGCAATGTGGTTAGCCTGGACTCTGCCGCTAGCAGACTAGCTTTTTTTAAGGAGCTATTAAGCCCGGTTGACCTTTGATGTGATAACAAGTTTGTTATTGCTCATTGGCTAACCCAATTTCTCCAAGAATACAGGATCCCAAACATATCAAAGGGAATTTTCCCAGCTGCTTTCTGAGACTTGTGGACAGTGAACTTTAAAGATACCGGAACTGGGGGTGATCAGAGATTAGGTCTCAACTGCTCCAGGGCCCACACATCAGGGCAGCTTCATTTAGATCATCTGAGAACACATCTCTATGGGACTCAGCCTGCAGTGTATGTTGACTGACTACTCCTGGAGCCTCTGAGTTGTGCTGAATAAATAAGAAAATCACAACTGGTGTCAGTAGATCTATACTCAGTCATCCTTTCCACTCTTTTTATATTCCGGTTCAACCTGCCAGGGAATGGTAGGGAGAAAAGGCTGTTGTCATCCTGGGTCAGAGAACTGGCTGCCTATAAGAGGCTTTCTACAGCCAAACGCAGTGCTTGGCAGCTCCCTCAGGATCCCAGGAACCACATGCTGGCTACAGTGCAGCCAGGAGGAAAAACCATCATTTCAGATGACAAACCCTAAGAGGTCAGTCTACTGTTAAGGTCAGGGCTTTACTGGCGCCCTGTATGGCTGAGAAGACTCACAATGGAGGTTCCAGGCACTGGAGGCAGAAGTTGGAAGGTACCTATGGGACATACTTAGACCCTGGTCACTTCCTGAAGAAACTCCATTGATTTGGTAAGAAAGCCACCCTCACACATTCCTGGTAGCTACAGAACAACAGAGCAGACTAAAACAGAGTCTGAAGTTGGCAGCCAGTCCAGTCAAATAAAACCAAATGCCTGTTGTTAACTGGTCTATCCTCTGTAAAAAAGTATTCAGCAGAAAAGGCAAAAAGGGGAAGACAAGAATACAGGTTTTAAGTGAATTATGTGTAAAATTATATAAGTTCTTGTGACCATCTGAATGGACTCACCCGAAGAAAGAAAGGAAACTTCCTGCCATAGAAGCCGACCCGAAAGAACTCAGGCTCCAGGCGTTGCTGCTCCATAATGTTGTCATAGTAGCTGGCCTCCATTTTCTGTGAATGAGAAAGGTCTTCGGGTTGGCTTGACTGCTGTTGGTATCCAAAGCAAGTTCTCCTAGGCCCAACTGGACACTGTCTTCCGGAAAGGGATCATGGCAACTCAATCTAGGTAAGAAGTAAGTGAGCCTCTAGACATGACCAGCCTCTCTCTAGGGAGTTGCATTATGGAAGAGAAGGCCCTCCATCACCACTGTCTGATGGTGGGATGGGGACAGGCCTGCCCACTGCAGCCCTGTGTAGCTGCTGTGAATGTCCTTCCTAGGGAGTGGACTCAGCCCTATAGATTCCTGTACTTAGGAGGCACACTTTTAACATGGACTTTTTCTGCCCAGGGATTTCTGGTTTTGACCAATACTCACTATACCAGTTGACTCCTGACTAGGTTGCTTGTAGCTGGCTATCAGCAATTCTCACCACCATTTTGTATCAGTCCAACTCTTGTTCATCTATTATCTGACTAAAGATGCTAACAACTGTAGTGAGGAAGGCTCAGATGCTAACAGCACTGGTACTCATTCCAAGTTAAGATATTTTAAATTTGAAAAGCTAACTAATATCCATGATGTCTAGCATTCCAAGGTCTGTAACTTTTTTAGTTGTGGCTGACCTGGCTTCACACTCACACAAAACTCACTGAAACTTCGATTGGGAAGATAGCTCTAATGCATTAAATCAAGCCAGCCTGCCAGAACGGGTTAAGAAGCCACTGCTAGAGGAACATGCCCAAACACCAATCTGGATCAGAGAACAGGAGAGTTAGCCACAAGGATGAGGGTGCAGAAAGGGTGAGTTGAGACTGCTAGCCTCTTTTTCGCTGATGAAATCAGCAGCCATTATGATTGAGAACCCAGCACCAGCAACCAGAAAGAATTTGGTGCAGACCTTCAAAGCCCATCGGGCATTTAATTTAATTTTTTAATATTCTGCATCAAAGAAGGCAGCAAGTACAACATGTTTAAAATTGACCATAAGCAAAGTGGGGAAAGTTCTTATAAAGATTTTGGATGAAGCATCCATAAACAAAACCATTCCAGGAAAAGCTTCTCTGTGAAGCTGAGCTGCCACCTCCTTCTCTTTCTTGAAACCACCATCCTATCCTGCCTACGCTACTTCTCCCTTCTCTGAGCACCATGGCTCTTGGGGTCCAGATCATACAATTATTTTTCAGGTGTTATTTTTGGTTTCCTAGTCAGACTGCAAGTGTCCTGAGGGCAGGAGTCTTGGCTTTTGTTTCTCTTGTATTGTCCACAGCACTAAACCAAGGGCTAGGCCCACAGAGAATGCTCATTTAGAAACTGATGCCAGTCAGGGCTGGGGTGGGGGGAGGGGCACAGCTCACCCGAATCCAGCTGAGGCTCTGGTAATCATAGAGGCTCTCGTACTGACACGCCAGCTCCCTGCACAGTGGGATCCCAAACTCCCAGCTCTGTGTCAGAAATAGAAACAGGGCTTCAGCATCTCATCCTCAGAATGGCCGAAGCCCACATTAAATACATCAGAAGACACACAAAAGGTCTCCCGCCAGCTCCAACTCGTGTCACAAAGAACATATGCCTCAAAACCAATTTGGGGGTCATGACACAGCCGTGTGGCTTTCTAGCTCAAGCATAGCTTTTAGGTCTCTGCTCAAATGTCTCCACCTCCAAGATGCCTTCCCTGACTACTTTGTCAAGAAGAGGCACTTCCTGGTCCATTTCTGTTCTGTTACTATGAAGTTATCTTAATTTTAAAAAATTACTTACTTTTTTGTTGTATTAGTCTCAATCAGATGATAAACACAAAGAGGGCAGGGACCCTGTTTGTTTTATTCTCAGAGACTAGAACAATGCCAGGGATGTATCAGGTACTCAGTAAAGATTTATTTGATAAGTTAATGAAACACTGATTTTTAGATTAAGATTGTTTAAGCTCCAAAACAAGTATGGAAATCAAGAAGAAAATGCCTACTCAAGGACTTGGCAGTAGGTCGGACAATTTCCTTTATGGAACTATTTGACCTTAAATTAGGCTTCAGATGATCCTTGCCTAGTTAGATTCCAGGTTTTCTGTGGTATGGCTCCTGTTATAGTAACATGACCATGCAACAGCCTGAGGGAAGGCTGCAGTGGCCTTCATTAAGAGGTGATATTATCCATTTCCTCCTTTAAAAAATATATACCTCTTTTGGAAGTCAAATTGTCCCTGTTTGCAGATGACATGATTGTATATTTAGAAAACCCCATCGTCTCAGTCCAAAATCTCCTTAAGTTGATAAGCAACTTCAGCAGTCTCAGGATACAAAATCAATGTGCAAAAATCACAAGCCTTCTTATACACCAATAACAGACAAACAGCCAAATCATGAGTGAACTCTCATTCACAATTGTTTCAAAGAGAATAAAATACCCAGGAATCCAGCTTACAAGGGATGTGAAGGACCTCTTCAAGGAGAACTACAAATCACTGCTCAATGAAATAAAAGAGGACATAAACAAATGGAAGAACATTCCATGCTCATGGATAGGAAGAATCAATATCGTGAAAATGGCCATATTGCCCAAGGTAATTTATAGATTCAATGCCATCCCCATCAAGCTACCAAGAACTTTCTTCACAGAATTGGAAAAAAACTGCTTTAAAGATCATATGGAACCAAAAAAGAGCCCACCTTGTCAAGAAAATCCTAAGCAAAAGGAACAAAGCTGGAGGCATCACACTACCTGACTTCAAACTATACTACAAGGCTACAGTAACCAAAACAGCATGGTACTGGTACCAAAACAGATATGGACCAATGGAACAGAACAGAGCCCAGGACATTTAGTGCAGCCCAACGACCATATGAACAAAATGCTCCATCATCACTGGCTCATCAAAGAAATGTAAATCAAAACCACAATGACGATATCATGCCTCACACCAGTTAGGAATGGTGATCATTAAAAAGTCCAGGACATAACAGGTGCTGGAGAGGAATGTGAGAAATAGGAACCTTTTAACACTGTTGGTGGACTGTAAAACTAGTTCAACCATTGTGGAAGACCAGTGTGGCAATTCCTTCAAGGATCTAGAACTAGAAATAAACATTTACCCAGCCATCACCCATTCCTGAGTATTATACCCAAAGGATTAATAAATCATTGCTGTCTATCAGAACACCATGCACACGTATGTTTATGGCGGCACTATTCACAATAAGCAAAGACTTGATCAACCCAAATGCCATCAATGATGACTGGATTAAGAAAATTGTGGCACATATACTACTATGGATATACTATGCAGCCATAAAAAAGCCATGGTTCATGTCCTTTGTAGGACATGAACTGGAAACCATCATTTCTTATCAACTATCACAAATGGACATGAAAAACCAAACACCGCATGTTCTCACTCAGGTTGGAACTGAACAATAGAACACTTGGACACACGGTGGT